CATCTGTTCTACTTTAGGTATATAAAACAAACTGGTACCTGTGCAATCTTAGACATACAGTTTATTTCTCTTTTTCAGTTACAAGGTCTTTCCTTGTTCATAGTTTCAGGAACCACTGTCCTCATGTCTGTCAGTGAAACACAGGTCCTCTATATTATTTAGAAGTTGCCTACAGTTTTGGGTTTGGTTTTGGTTTGGTGGTGGTTATTAAATAAGTCGTTAAAGAAGAACAACCTAGAATGAGCTTTTGATGATTCAAGAAGGGAGGGACATATAGTTGTTTTTAGTAAAAAAAAAAACAAAAAAAAACTTGCTCAAAGTCATAAATTTTGAGTTGTAGGAGTCAAGCACTCCTATCCCAAATGCTGTGGTCTCTGGACTACTCTGCTACCTGTTACCCTCTTAAGACTCTTAAAACCTATGTTGCCTGCTGACCTCTTAAGGATGCAAGAGAAGGGAATTGGAACCTGGAACAACTCTTTGGGGTCCGGCATTTTGTTATATGATGGGGACTCATTTATCACTAAACTAGACTGCTTCAAGAAAGTACTTTTTATTTTATTTTATGGTGGTGCTGGGGATTTAACCCAGGACCTTCCACACATGAGGCAACTGTTCTACCACTAAGCTACACCACACCCTCTGAAGTGCTAGCTGATGGACCAGGATACAAAATATCAAGTTATGATAAAAGCATGGCAGTCATGATTTGAGCTCAGCTGTTTTCACTATATCACACCATAAATGTATTAACTATTTTCATATTTAAGTGTTTGATAAATTACAAACTAAAATAGTCCAGAAAACTACCAAATGGCAAAAATGTAAAATTTAACCATAGTGTAAAATTCCATACTGTGACACTCCAATACCTTTATTGTAGAATACAATTGCCATCCGGGTGTGGTAGCACACGCCTGTATTCCCAGCATTCAGGAGGCAGAAGGAACATAGTTCTAGGCCAGACTAGGCTACATAGTGAGTTCAAGGTTAGTCTGAACTACATAGGGAGACCCTGTCTCAGAAAACAAAAACAAACATACAAAACAAATACAATTGCCAGAAGTTATCTTGACAGAATTGAAATTAAAAGTGAGTGAAATTGGGAGAATGCTTGCCTAACGTCAGTATGATTCCAGTTTGGTCCCCAGAACAAAGAGAAAGAAAGAAATATTTAATAATTACAAAGTAAATATTTTAAGATTATGTTATAAATATTTAATACTTGTTCGTGCAAATTTTTATGGCTTAGCTCATAGAGATTATTTTGAAAAATTATATCAGAAATATAAAAAAGCATATGAAGTCAAATATGAGTCATGAGAAAAAATATAGCACATTTTTTTGAGACAGGGTCTCACTATGTAGTTGAGACTGACCTGGAACTCACTATGCAGCTCAGGCTGGTCTCCAACTCACAGCGATCCTCCTGCCTCAGCCTCCCAAGTGCTGGGATTACAGGCATGCGCCACCATGCCCGGCTACTCAAGTAATACAAATTATCATTTCTAATTATTACAGTCTCCTGAACAAATATTCATGGCTTAAACATACAGTTTCACCTTTTAAGATGAAATTCACAATACATCTTTTGGTCCTCCAGTCTTACTTTGGTAAACTGTTTGCTAAATGATGACCCCTGTCACTAGTCAATTTCACTTATGTGACTCATGTATATTTGAGAGTTAAAAAAAGAGAAATGGCCAGCTGCCAATAACATCTGACAACTATTCAATAGCATTTTTAAGGGTTAAACACTATCGAAGACATAGGTGTCAATCTCAAAGCATTTCCATTATAACTAAGTCTCTTTCCTAGTTCAGATCCAATATAACCATCATCTTCATGTTGAACAAGGCGTTGTCAATTTACATTTTTCTGTTGTATAAAAAGCTGTACTATTCTAAACAAAAATCCAAGAAATTCTTGGCTTCTCAATCTTAAGGAGAATTGAAGCAAATACTTTCCCCCATGTTAAAGAAAAAGATGCATGTATCAGTCTAAAGTCTTTTTCAAATTCTTATCACACAGTTTTATTTTTGCCTTTTCCCATTAAGATTTCTTAATAATATTTTTAAAACTTTTGAAACAAATCTTGCTATGCTGCACAGGCTGACCTTGAACTCTTGAGTTCAAGTGATGTTCCTGTTCCAACCACCGCCCCTGCCCAAGCCCATCATGGCAATTTGGTCTATAGATGTCCATAAAGATTTACATGAACAAGCACATACACACACACACACACACACACACACACACACACACACACTTATATAATCTTAACATCTTTCTTTGTAATTATTAACTGTGCTTGGCCTTCTTAAAAATATTTCAAATTTCTGTTTTTATTTCTTAACCATGTAGGGTCTAAATTTTCATTCTTTCAAAGTATTTTTTTATGAAACAGTAAACCCAGTAGCTATTTGCGTCAGTGCTGGATCTTTTGTTTGACTTTAAATTCTACAACAATTGATTAATTTGAATTTGAGTTTTTCGGTGTTCTGGCTTTTCTTATTAATTTACTTATTTTGGTGAGGCATCTCAGCCAGAATTTCTTGAAAGTCATGGGAAGGGTAACAATGACTATATCTGAGGCTATGAAGAATTATTGTAGTATGTCTACCAGCTATTTTTGATTTCTACAGTGATCAGCATTATAGCTGATGGCTGAAATTACTGAAGAAATAGATTCATGTACTACCATTCAGCTACTTTTAAGCTCTTTATAAACCAAAGTTAAATTTGAATGGCCATAGCCCAGTCCTCTGCAAATTTAATATAATTTTATTTCTCTATAGTCATAAAAATGTCAACCTTTTCAAAATTTCACTGATTGCAAAAACACAAAAGTATCAAGATTTATCAATATATGTGGTTGCAGATAGCTAGATAGCAAAATCAATCTGAGATATTATACAAGATATATATCTATATATCTATCTATCTATCTATCTATATATAT